AGGCCATGGCAGGCATTCCGGCTCATACCAGCAAGAAGCCAGTACATGAACTGCTCATTCCTGCCAAAGACAATCAAGGAATGGAACAATCTTCCAAAAGGAACAGTTGATGCGAAAAAACTTGAAACATTTTCGTCTATTGCCTCAGGCCTTCCAACCCTAGAACATAACACTTTCACTGATTATCCCTTGCAACCAGTGAAATATTCCCTTCAACACCTGGCACAGAAACATTGCAAATCCCCTCTACATGCATAGGAGCCAGAATGATCAATCAATTGATCGTGGGCCCTTAATATAATATATTACAGAAGAAGAAGAAGTTTCATTGACGGTGCAATAGCCCCCTCCCACACAAACGCACACACAACAAATTAAAACTTACAATATTTTCACATCTTGACTAGACAAACTAAAGCAATTCTTATGAGCTGAGCGAAACTGGGTGCAGGCGTAGAACATAATGAACAGAAAAGTTAGCAATTAATATTTAATGAAACTCCTCATGATCTGACCACAACATGATCAGATGTTTATTTATTGGATATCTTTATGGACCAAGCCAATGCTCCACCTGTAAGTTCATTAAAGAGGCTTAGCATAAATTAGGACAACAAAATAGTTGGGAGGGGGTTGTAAAAAAAGTTTGAAAAAGGAAAAAAAGGGGAACGGGGGTAAAAAATAATGTTAAAAATTCTATAGATCAAATCATAATGAAAATCATAATGAAAATCATAAAAAGGCCTAAATAATTTCTTGCAAATTTTGTTAATTTTAATGGCTTTAAAATCTACCGCGATGACACAGGAGAAAACCTACTTAGACTTAGGTATTCTTGAGTGGCTGAAAAGGTTGGGAAGCACAGATCTCTACCTTGAGTTCCATGAAAAGACATAGAGACAATAGTGTCAATGCATACAAAAATGCAGGTGTGGATCAAATGTTGCAGTGAAGCTCACAATCAGTGCGGCACATTGAAAGTTTTGACAGAGTTTGAATGCATCTGCATAAAATATTAAATGCGACAAGGAAATGATCATTTAAAAAAAAAATCAGAAACCTGGAATGATGATATCCTTGTGGACATATGCTTAGGGAGATAATCCAATCTGAGTTGAATCTGAACAACCACAACAATGTAAATGAAAAGTCATTTTCTCCTCTAGTCCAGGAACTTGAGTCTCCAGGGATGACTAGGACATCAGAATAAAGCTGGAAATCCTCCAGACCAAATGCCTACGAAGTATCCAGCGATTCTTTTGGCCAAAGACAACATGCAATGAAGAATGGGGTTGCTATTCTGGAGGGAGAACTGCTTCAAACTACGTATTCTTTACTTCTTTGATTTATAAAATAGCAGTTACTTCCTGTACTGAACTTTGAGCTACATTTACATTATTGAGATCTTCAAAAACTTAAAGTTTTATTTTTATTTTACATTTAGCTGGTTTTTTTTTTTATTGTATTGTCTGATGAAGAAGGTATCTAGCCAAAACGTTCGTTTAATTGTCCTGTCAGTCGTGTTTTTTTCCAAGCCTAGGCCTAGCTCTAAACAATATAATTACAAATATCTTGTTAGACTATTAAACATTTATTTATATTTTTTATTTTTTTACAATATTTAATAATTTCTAGATGCACATTTTTCCAAGATAAAAAATAAATTATATTCGCCTTGACTATAATAACACATTTAAGCAAAGAAACAAATGTAAAGAAACAAGAAATTAATATCTACAACCATGGGGGCCCGCAGAAAATTTTCTGGGGGGGGGGGGCAAAAAATCGATTAACTTTCCAGGGGGGGAAAACAATTTTTAGTAATGTTTTATTATAGTTTTAATTTACTGTAGCGTATTTGTATGGTGAACGAACGGACAGGACATCAGCTTAGTTACTTTCTCTTTATTTTCTCTTTACTTTAATACATTTTTTGTCTATTTTTTTCTAAAATTTTGTTATCCAATCAATCCGGGGGGGGGGGGGCAAGTGCCCCTACCTGCGGGCGCCCATGTCTACAAAGATAATCGAATCGGGAAACAAACAGTTCATTATACTAAATAAATTAATTTTAAAAAACGCGAATTTTATTTTAGGGTTGTTTTTTCCCTTTTTTTTTTTTATTTACTTTAATACATTTTTTGTCTATTTTTTTCTAAAATTTTGTTATCCAATCAATCCGGGGGGGGGGGGGCAAGTGCCCCTACCTGCGGGCGCCCATGTCTACAAAGATAATCGAATCGGGAAACTAACAGTTCATTATACTAAATAAATTAATTTTAAAAAACGCGAATTTTATTTTAGGGTTGTTTTCTCCCTTTTTTCTTCTTGGCAGTATCACCTCATTTGAAATTAAGAATACCTTTGGACCCAAGAAATACGAACAAAACGTCAGTTTAATTCAATTTGAGAATGCACAATCACAATGAAACTGATCATAATTTATTATAGTACTAGTTATGTATGGCTTCTTGTTCACTGAATAAGCGAATAACTATTACTTTTTACCGCAGGAAACTTTCATAAACAGAAATATAATTTTGTCTTTGGCCTTGATTATTTATCACTGAGACTGTTTTACTTTTAATACTTTTAAACTTTTAACACTTCACTTTCACTAGCTAAGCCAGCTACATTACAAACATACAGGGAGAGGAGACTACCAGTATTAATTCTTAAGTCTTAAGTATTATACTTTTAATATATAATCAGATTGCTCACCAAGACTCATTCATTTTCAGGCTGCAGATGAGGAATGCCTAAATTCTGATTTAATTAATAATTTAATAAGGCATAAGGCTTTTTAAGGCTATAACTATAAATAAATCACACAATCACAAATGTAAAATAGATAACAATAATATGATATTATATGCTAATGAGGCGGCATGAGCTGGTCATATTTTTAAATTATCATTTTATAACATGATATTATATAATTAGACCTATCTATAGACTATAGTATTTCATATTCACATCATTTTTAATGCTACGTAGCAGTTAAGTTTCTATTTTTTTTTAAATTTTTATTATGTATAGTTATAGTAATAGAGCTAAAATACTGAAAAAGATGGTCAGTGACCAGTGTTTGAGCACAGTGACTCATTTAGTGATGAGAGTGTGATCATTAAAAAGTAGACTTATATGAAGTAAGGCCTAAGGACATAATTTATTGTACATAAATACAATATTTTTCTGACCGTGACGAGTATAAAATTATTATTAATAATTAATGTACTTTGATTCTTAAGCTTAACTCGACTGGGAATAGGTAGCCCAAGAATGCAATCTTCAAGTCACAAATAATAATAACCAAGATCAAGAAGACAATCGGGGAATCACAATGTCTACTAAAGATTCACAGAAATCATTATCTTCTAAAAGTAATAATCATGATCACAAAGCCATCCTTAGAAATAAGGTAAGAACTTTAGTACAAATCATTGGCACATATGACAGGAAGTTTAAGGTGTAGATAGTAGAGGGATGACTGTATGTATATCTTTCTTTTAATTTTTTTTCAGAACCAGATGCTATGTCTTGCACCATACTTTAATTGGTTATAACAAAGTGAAGTAATAAGCATAAAAATTGTTTATAAATGTTGTCTTAAATATTAATTTAAAGAAACTATTATAATTTCCTTTGAGCTGAATTTGTAAAAATATAGCCTACCAAAAATATTATTTATTCTTTCAAGTTGTCATCAATTGCATGGGTTCAGTGTGATAACCTTAACTGTTTGAAATGGAGAAAGCTTAGAAAAGAACTTGCTGATAGTTTGAATGAAGAGACTCCATGGACTTGTGACATGAATGAGGATCCTAACTTCAGCAGGTAAAATATTGGCATTAAATTTGTTTTTTGTTTCTAAAGAAGAAGAAATGATGAAATTTTTTCTTAGAATTTCATAACAAACTTCTATATTGGAATGTTATAGTTGTCATAACACATCCAATACTATTATACTATTACCGATGCACTGAGTAGGAACTGTTATTATTCAGCCAAACACATAATAAAGTCTCATAATAAAGTTTTTAATCAAATAGATGTTGAACATTGGCATTCAGAAACATGTCCAGTTAGACTTGAGTACTGAGAATACACAATCACCTTATTTGATCTAACTCTTCTGATTACAGTTTTATACCTTTTGACATTGACAGCTGATGTTGTCTCAACATTTCTTACCTTTTGACATTGACAGCTGATGTTGTCTCAGCTGTTAACTTTTCGTACATTTTTAATGAGTTTTTTAAAGAAAATAATTGCATTACCAATGAGCTGTTAAACTTTACACAAAAAAAGTGCGGAACTCTATCATCAACTTTTTCAGTTTTTATTTCTGTGAAGGTTTCTTTCTTTAAATCACTTAATTAAGGGATGTTCTTGTCCCAAAGATTGTTTCATATATGATAAAAATCAGGTTTATTATGCTGAAAGATCTTTCACAGTTGCCAGTTGACATTGCTAGTCTGAGTAGAATTTGCAAAGCTGTGTCTGTTCATCAGAAAAATTGACTTGCCTTATGGTCATGGAATACTCAAATAAAAAAAAACAAGTGGACATTTTGTTTGAATCAGATCAGTCTAATTTTCTTTCTTTAATAGCCCAGGACAATCTGAAGCCCCATTCTACACCTGCCTTTCTTTTATTTTTCAAAATGTATCTCTTTGTTCACAGTTGCAATGCATTTTATATAAGAATACAAATAGTTAATTGGATGAAAAGTTCTGAAACAAATCAGAGATAAATCCTATATCAGTAATTATATTACTGTTATTAAAATTATTGGCAAAATGTTTTAAAGTGGTATTGGAAAAATTGAGCTTATCACATTATTATCTAATTGTCACAATTATTATCTAATTGTCACAATTATTATCTAATTGTCACAATTATTATCTAATTGTCACAATTATTATCTAATTGTCACAATTATTATCTAATTGTCACAATTATTATCTAATTGTCACAATTGTTACTCTTGTCTGATTATGATTAGATGTATTGTTCCTGAAGAAGACACCACCTTATATGACAAACTTGCCAAAAGTGTGAAGCTAGATATCATTAAGTCAGAGCTAAAGCCTGGGACTTTGGTATGGGCTAAAGCCAGTGGGTATTGCAGGTAGGAAAACATAATCTTCCAAAGCAAACCAGAGTAAACTATATTTGACTGGCAGTTTTTGAGTTCTTGTTTACATAATTAGAGTAATGACATTAATTGCAAAGCTTTAAGTTATTTCCAGGAGAAACAAAATTTTACTTCAGCTACCCCACTACTGGATTTCTTCAATTTTTTCAGATGGCCTGCAATAGTTACTGCAGACCCTCTAAATGGACTTCATTTTGAAGGGGATGATGTGGAAATTATTTGGTATCATGTTGAGTTTTTAGGAGAAGTAAGGACCCATGGATGGGTCAGAGCAAAAACCGTTGAAGTCTTTGGTCCAGGGAATGCAAATGAAAATAAACAGTCAAATAATTTCAAGGTCTGAAAAAGTTTTTAATGTTGTCACTTTTGTATGGCGTTTTGTAGAATTTGTGTTATGATCACAATTTTCTAAATTTAATTACAATAAAATATCAAATAAAACACCAAGACACATCAAATTATAAATTAATCACCATTTATTTTTATATAATTGTAAATAAAACTAGATCTACTTTAAATACAATTAAATGTCACCCTGAGACTAAGCTTTGTACAAATTTGAATAAGATATATAGGGAGCTGAATATGATACTCTGACTAAACAAATGTTTAAATATATCTATGTGAATTAATGAAAAGTTAGTGAAAATAAATAATAATTTGCAATATTGGCTTTATGTCTTATCTTGAAACACAGTGATTACCAGCATTTATTCATCATCATTATTTTCAATATAAGATATATGAGCCATATTATTTAATGTTGTCTACCCTTTGATCTCCAAGCAGAAAGCAAAAAAACGCAAAAGGCTTAGTTTCAGTGCAAACTCAAAGGAGAGAGACAAAAAGAAATACAAGGGTAGTCTGACAGTAGAGAGGGCTGTCAAAGATGCTATGAGTTTGCTGCCTTTGACATTTGTGGACAGACTAAAAACCTGTGAATTTTTGGAAATCACTGAGCAGAAAGAAAATTCTATCTCATGTAAAGGTACAATTTAATATAGATTCAACTTTTGAAATGAAACACAATTTCTATCTTTCATTGAATAACTTTTGAATAAAAAAGTATAAATTTTAAGTTTAATAAATTTTGTAAAAAGATTTCACCTTCTACAGACAGTGGAAAAACACAGAAGAAAAAAGTACCCAGGACAGAAGCAAGAGGGCATGTTTTATCTTGTGTCAGTGATAATCACAAAATTAGAAATCAGACAGTTACAGCAATAGAAACTACAAGAACCCATTATGTAGAGAGGGAAAACAATACAAATCACAAAGATAGTAAGTGTAAAGCTGAGAATTGGATTGAAAGTCCCTTTGTGAGCCCCAACATGGATGTCTATTGTTTTGAGTATCCTACTTCACTGCTGGGCACATCAAAAGAAGAGAGATATATATTGGATTTACAGGTATGTCAGCCATACTTTCTAAAGTTTTAAGATTTTTTGTAATGAAAACAATCTATTAAACATAATTTATTTTATTTTTGAAATTAAGAATATTTTTTCAAAATTTCCTTAAAAATAGTAACAAAATTAAAATAAAAATATTATTATTTACCTTTTATATATTTATATTTACATATATCAGTGTTTTTATTTCTTTCTTTATCCTTGACAGTTTTACATGAGAAATGAACATGCCTTTGAACGTGATATCATGCAATTCATGATGAGGAATAGCTTGAAATGCATCCAGTGTCCTGTTTGGCAGAACATGAAAGTTAGCATCTACTCTCTCTTCTTGGCTGTAAGAGAAAGAAAAGGTTTTCTTAAGGTAGGTGAAAGATTTGCTATTAGCGCACACATGTTGACTACGTCAGACCTGTTTACTCTTACGATTTTGGCGTACAATGTACGATTTTTAGGTGTATAGGTTGTATATACTGTTTATTTTTTACTATAAATATAACGTATTGAACGATTTTGTGATGATATTCTACGATTTTAAGAGTTTGAAGGTAAACAGGTCTGCTACGTTTAAAAGAATCAGGCCTTAGTTCCTAACATTAGGCGTAATATATATTGAACTGTCAAAATAAACTATTCATATGTAAATTATCATGTTAAAAAAAACTGTACTCTATAAAAAAAAATTTTTTAGTGTACAAATGTAATACTCTAAACTTTGAAAAATATTCCATTAAAAAAATTAACTATTCTTTCTTAAGTAGATGCATTGCAAGAAAATAAAGAATAAACTTTTGCCAGGTTTGTGAAAGACACCAGTGGTCTGCTGTGTACATGGAAGTGGCCCACCAACCATGTAAACAAGGAGGGTCTAAGGCCAAAAGATATTATGAAAGGTAATATTATTAAAACCATACCAATATTATGTAAATAACTTTTATCAAAACAACAGGAGTTTGTATAATTGCTATTGGCTCTATAATAATAATTTTGTGGCTATATTAACAAGAAATGTACCAAAATATTATGAGAGGGAGTGAGAGCTTTAAGAGCAGGAGCATCTATCCCACCTGAGTGGTGGAATACCTAGACCTTGGTCTTGGTTAATTCTGTGTGTGAGTTATGCCAGTGATTGCTGTTTAATTCTGTAGCTTACTATGATTAATATTATTTATGACAAAATGTCCAGTGAAATTTTTCAGCATATCAAATGAAGTGAGTATTCAAAAAATAAATTTTAGTAGGCCTATTTTTTTTTTATATAAGTTTTAGTTCTTAAAATTTGGCTTGCTGGATGCAGCACACTCAAAACATGTCATTTCATACTGGAGGATTGGAGTTCAATTCCTAGTTTAAGCCAAATAATTTAAATATACCTTTTTTTCCCCTCCTATCAAAAATCTCCCTCCCCTTAACTATAGAGTATTTGTATTTTCTTTCTTTTATCATATTAATTTTGGTACCAGGACAAAGTCAAAAGCAAGGGCGGAAGGGATATATTTCCCCTCCTAACTCAGATTGGAAGCTGTTGCTTCTTTTCACCCCCTGTGTAGACACCATTGGTCAAAAGTGCTAGGTTCATTTGACACATTATTTAAATGTTCCATTATGAAAGGAAATAGTTTTTTTTGTGGTATTTTTAAGGAACTTGTACCCCTATGAGCTTTATGTCAATGGCTTGGATTATAGCAAGGCTATAAGTCAATTCATTAAGCCCCAGAAGCAAGCAAGTGCTAAAAAAACTTCTTTAAGTGATGCTGGTGACTCTGGTGTCTGTACTGAGGATGCTAAAACCCAGGGTGTAGGAGATGAAGATTTTGATAATCCAGGTAACACAATTTAGTTTTAAATATAACACATTTCATTACATAGTAGTCTGTGCTGTAACAAAACTAACATTGTCAAAAAAAAAACTAGGTTAGGGTACCTTGATATTGACACATTTTATTTTTACAGATGTGATAAAACAACTTGATGAGCTTGACAGGATACTCCAGTCATTGGAAAATGGAGGAGATATTGACCAATCGGGTAAGCCATGATAAACAAACCTTCCCCTATCAAAACATCTTCTATAGTCTTGTATATAATAAAAACACAATTGTCACAGTGTTCTGCCACCATATTAAATTTAAATAGGTGTTCTTCTTAAACTATTAAATAATTCAGTCATATTGAAGAAAGCCATTAAAAACCCTATGTTGTATTTCTGTTTCATTTCACAAATTGTTTGGCTATTCAATACTGCAGATATAAAATGCCATTCCTTGACATATTATTATTTTATTGTGTTGCTGATTATAGTAGAAGCTTAGCTTTTAATTAGGTTCACAAACAAACAAAAATATATTTATAATTATATTATCTTAGGTTTCAATTGTGCAACTTTAAATTTATAAACAGTTTTATGAATAGATTTATAGATTATTATAGTAAGAACATATGGAACAGCTCAAATCAAATACAGGACAATCAAAAGAATTTTTGCCTGAAAGTCTTCATCAGCAAACAAAATTTCGTTTTTAAGAAAAGAGAGAATTAGAAAAAACATAATTGTAAAAAGCCAGACAAGATATTGGTTAAATCCAAAACAAATACATTAATAAGGACGTATGTGATACAGTCTAATATTATGTATTACTAAGCTCCTTAGTAATTAATAATGACATTTTAACAAAATCTGTGTTCTTGGTTTATTTGCATTTTCTAGGTTAAAAAGATTGTTTTGGATTTTAACATTACTCTGTCATTTTGTTTTTAAAATAGACGGAGTGGTGCCAGTTTTGGGGGCTGATATTAGGTTATTAGACAATCACAACATAGTGGAGCTTCCGGCACCATCCATGCTTAAAGCAGTGACTGGTTCTGTTTATGGAGAGCCAGATGAACCAGGTAGGCACTGTTATTGATGAACTATTTAAAATCATTTTAGTTGTCTGGATTCTGGGCATTTACTGACCCTTGTCTCTACTCAGGACAGATACAGAGAAAAGGCTTTTCAAGATGGCATACTGTCCAACTGAGCTTAGGGACCATGATTATAAATGCCATTAATGGATTTGGGGTATGAGTGGAAAGGGGAGAATTAAGGTTGCTATTTGAATCTAATCCAACATGATGAGAGGTTTATCATGTGTCTGGCCAGGAGTAGACCAAGAAACTTATCATTGTATGTGTGGAGGGACGGTATGGATCTGCTGACTGTGAAATAGCTAATCTTTCATAAAACATCCCTGGCCCTGTAAATTTGCCACTCCATAAATAAAAAAAAAAGAACACATGAAGCAGAGAAAATATGTTGAAGTGAAGATTCTAAATTTCCTCTGATTTAAATGCAGTTAAATTATTTTGTTAATATTTGCACAATTTTTTTATTTTTATGTATATATTTATATATTTTTACAAATACTTTAAACATTTAAAAGCAATGAGGTCTATAAGATTTTTTTATGCCTGTAGATCAAATTTCCTTTCATGTCTTTAATGTTTTTACACTCCCTCAGATAATGTAATGCTGTTGGATGCACTAGTGTGTCCTATTCTTTTTGTCATTTATTCAACATCTGGCCCATTTCTTGGTATATAGTTACAAAATGTACTACTTCGAAAAGTATCATTGAAAAAAATTGAATGGATATAGATTGGCCAAAGTGCTTATGTGAATTTATAAGACTAAAAATAAATATCACATTTTTTAGGTTTAGCATTGTTTATATTGCAGAAGAAAATGCTCAGGTAGTCCCTGAACTTGACTTTCCTAGTTCACTTGAGAGCAGTGATGATGGTCTGGCTTCCCAGCACTCAGATGGCCAACATGTGCTCCATGAGATGCAAGCCCTACAGCACGACATGGACTACCTACAAGAGGAGATTGATTTGCTCTAAGAGTAATAAGATACATTTGACAAAGTTTTTTTCAGGTTTGTTAACATTTCTCAGGTCAAAGTAAATAATCTACTCATTTATACCAAGCCAAAATACCCCACCCCTCTTGTTTTAAAACAATTCTTTGTTAATTGTTCCTTGTTAATGGATCTGGATTGTTTCACATAAAAATGTATTTGTGTTGAGAAACTATTTATTGTGTATGGTGAAACGCCTTCCTTTCCTTTCCTTTTGTTGACATGAAGTATTGCATACCATTTCAAAATCTTCATTTCCATTATTAAATTTGTTGTATCACAAAGATGAAATGATATTCTTCATTGTAAAATAAAAAGAGATTTTCAGACACAATATTGTTTTCAATTTATTTTATTTTACAAACATTGTTTTATAAAATCTTTTTCATATAAAGTTTTGTAGCAAATATTTATATATTAACAGGCAATTCATTTAATTTTGTTATTTTTCATTATGATAAACAAGTGCATTGATGACAAGAAAATTCCATAATTAATAGCTTGCCTACGGAAAAAAACGATTTGGAAAGACTAAAAAAATGTGTTTTAATCAAAAAAAAGTAGCTTAGAATAATGACATTGACAGAGCTTTAAATTTTTTTGATTAGTACAAACAACGTAAATAGATACTGACTGACAAGTCTCATGCAGCACTTAAGCTTGAAAACAGAAAACAAAGTTATGGAAATCATACAGGAACAATCCAATGAAAGTGATTTTTGAGATCAAAATTAAATTATTAAAGGGAAAAATAGAAATCTAAACTTCTGCTTAAAATGTGTTTACAGTTAAGTTATTGCATGGGATTAAATGGTGATCAGAAGCACATTATTGGGCAGAGTATCTAACTAATGAGATTTTTGGTGATCACGAGTACAATGCTGGGCAGAGTAGCTAACTATGGCGTAGCTTTATAAAAAGTATACATTTGTTATGAAATATCTTTATATTTATTGCACACCATTCTGGAAATAATGCCTTAAAGCATTTATTATCAGCATTAAAAAAGGTTTTACTTACAATTTTACTTAAGTAGAGGCTTCAGTTGACCTTAAATATATATTTTTATTTCCAATTGTTTACATACAGGAATTTAGACCTAAAAATCAACGCTTCAAATCAGGCCAATAAGTTAAAAAGACAAACCAATGAGCTGGCTTGTGAAAAGCTCCTGATATCTACACACTTGGCACAAAAAAAATTACAATTTTCATTATCACCAAACTTTTTAATACTGGATATTTTTTTATCTCCATCCATCACACAGTACTGTGCTGAATTCTAATGATGATCCCACACTTATCATAATGGAGATCATATCAATATTATCATAGTTCCACTAAAAACACCAATAAATTTCTTTTTCCTATAAACCTAGTGGATAAAGCAAAATTTCGACTTATTTTATTAGTAGTTGAAATAAATTCTTTGAGGAATGGTAACAGAATAAATTCAAAATGATGTGCTTAAAATGTAGTTTTGTTCTATCAAGTACTCACAACCACAGCAAAATTTTATAAGTTACAATAAATACATATTTTGTAAAATAAACTCTCATTTTTCTTCCATTATCCTTAAAGCTATGGTAAGTTACAATGAAAGCTTAAATTTACCATAGAAGCCATGATTTTCAAGAAAAGGAAAGCACAGATACTCGTACAAGTAAAACTTTACTAGCCATTTAAACACCTTTAGAGCAACAAGAAAATAACTATAAGGCATGACTTAAAAAATAAAAATAAATTTAGATAATCTATCGGAAAAGCTACATAAAAACAAATTACAAAATCCTTTTAAGCAATAACTTTCTTTGATTTAATAATCAATGTAGAAATGTGTTAACAAAAGAATCAAAGGAATTTATCCAATTACTCCTATACATTTAGTTGGGCTCAAGTATAAGTAATGAAAGCATTTTTCATTTCTTTTCAATAAAATCTGACTTAGGAACTTTTTAAATAATGTTTATAAAGTACATTTATTAAATTTTTTACTTGAATTATTTTTTGGTATTTTGCAAAGAATTACTTAAAAGAAAAATAAACTAAAAGAATATGCTTTTTAAATTAAAGAAGTAAAAAAATTTAAATTGTACAAAAATAAAAAAAAAAAGAAAAAAAAAGGAGAATGATAATAATGAACGTGAGATTAAGCCCATTTCATATTTAAATAGAATTCCACATTCAAAGCATTTCATCTAGGAAGTTGGAAATAAATCAATGAAATAAGATTGAAGAGCTTAATACCATTGATCTTTTTGGACTGAACATTAAAAAAAAAATTTAATCCTTCAAATATTCAGGGCACCTATATGGAAGTAATGAAATTGTGTAGACTCAATAACTGATTGCAAATCATGACACATGTACATAAAATATTAGACTTACTGAGTAAATTGTGGGACATTAAGTATTTAATAAGTTTCAAACTAATGATTTTAGATCTGCACAGGAAATATTAAACATTTAGTAGTTGTTGACCTAAATCTTACATGAACTTTCCATAAAAAAAACCTCATTTTTTTAAATTTTAAAATGTAGAACTAATACAAACAATCAAATTTTCCAAACATAATTCTTGTAGGGAGCTACTTCTAACAGTTTGTTACATCTAAGAAGATAAGATATTATAAAATATAAACAAAAGACTCATAAAATCAGTTTGAAAACATTCCCAAAGAGAAACAATGGATGCTTTAATTATGAAAACAAGGCAAGGTCGCTATGCTTCTACATGTGAATGTTTTATAACTGTGATTTCATAGTAGGACATTTTTAAATTTAAATGTTTATGTGCAAAGTATATAAATGCCCAATCACATATAAAGTTGATGAAATCTTAACGTCATACACAAAATCATGAAAAAATGCTTTTGTAACTGATGATCAAGCCTGCGTGGCAATTCCAATCAATAAATACAACAAATATATCACATTCTGCAAAGCATTGGATGAATTGAAAGATACAACATCTCAGTTATGAGAGTCTTTACTTTTAACAAATGTCAAAATGTAACTGTCACGACATGTGACATCCTCCAAAATGTCATAGATCAATTTTTACTTTATAATGGTCAAATAGGACATAGGACTAGTTTCTAATTCTGGCATTTAGACTTCAGTTTCAGGATGGACATAATAAAAATCTAAAAATTTCATTTTCTGGATGGACACAATTAAATAATCTTAAAACTTCAGTTTCAGAAATGCACACAATAATCTAAAGAACCTTTTCATTTAACTTGAAATTAACCACAATTTGAAAGCAATATTTCCTGCCTTCTTCATTTGCAAGTATTGAATATATTATTTGATGTTTTTGTATAGCTAACTGAAAATGTCACAAATATATTTCCAGTGCATTCCAAGCATCTCCACCTTCCAAAGAAATAATATTATGGAACCATTACAAATTTTCTAATGCTGCTTTGACTACTCCATGTTATCAGGTCATCAAGAACCATTACTCTGCTTTTTCTAAGATAGTAGGAAAAAAAACAACCTTAAGTTCCGGACCCTGATCACAAACCACACCATTATTGGCTACAGTCACAACATGGTTAACAAAAGCCCTGTGCTCACTATCAGAAAAAACAACTTTCCTTAACAGTGTGCCCCTGGCAATGTCCCAGAGTGAGATACTTCCCTGTAGAAAAAAAAAAAAAATTTGATTCATTTAAAAAGAAATTCTTAGCCCCATTTTTAAAGAAACTCTACATTAGTTACATTACCATAAGAATAAGAGAATAAAGACAATCCACTTACAGGGCCTCCAGTCACAATAAGATTTCGACACATAAGGGCTGCACTTCCAACACCACCTGAATTCTGCAGGATGGGAAAAATAAAAATTTAAATAGACTGGGCTGTAAAAAGAAATTTTATCTGTTATAACTTCAATATATCAAACAACTTTCCTCCAACTCAGCAGCACTAACACAGACTCAGGAAAATTTGATGTATACATTTGATTTCTGAATGTGATGAAATGACGCAAGCAACAAAAGGAATCTCAGTTTTGAGCAAAAGTATTTAGCAAAAAAATTACTGAGCATGTTTATGTAAGTGTCTTTAGATTTAAACAAAAAGAGCAGCTCTGAATAAGAAACCATTTTAAAAAAATTAACAACAATTCATAACCAATAAAAGAATATGACAAATCTGAATGTTTCTTATTAAGGTAAATTTCTTTAAAAAATACCACTGATTAAAAAGATCATTTTAAATTTCAAATGTATTCCAATAATAAAAAGTAAATTATAAAAAATATGGCTTAATGAAGTGAGCTCAGAAGCTTAAGTGTTTAACATGACTTAAGTACTGTGCTTTATAGATATTAATTTTTGCAAACATCTGTTTAGTTTAAAAAATTGAAAATAGAACCTTACATCTGATATTTAAATTAAGAAATTGTAACGCTAAAAATTTCAAATTGTTTTTAAAACCTTTCATATTGCAGAATTTGGCATTAATAAAAAATGCATTGGCATTCTAAAAAATAAAAATCCATTGAAAATGAAAAAAAACCTGCTGGCTGTTGAACTAAAAATGACAAATACAATATTGGCAAAGTGCAACCCACCAGGACAATTGTGTGTATCAGTGAGGACTTGGTTCTGTCCCACACACACATTCTGTCATCCAGTCCCACACTGACTATGTACAGTGGGGATGTTGTCAGGGTCATGACCGTGGCTTCATGCCAGGAGAACTTGTGCACGCAGGTCCCAGTGAGGAGGTCCCACATGCGAACGGTCCCATCCATGGAGCCACTCACTGCTGCCAGAGGAGCAACTTTATCCAGGCACAGGGCTGTAACACTTGCTTCATGTCCATGTAATGTGTACAAACATAGACCATTGTCAAGTCTAAATACCTGGACAACATAGAAAGGTGGTCAAATTAGTTTTCAATAAGCATAATTATAAATTCTTAATTAAGGAGAGGAAAGAAAACCCTTTCTTGTCACAAATATAATATTTTTATACACACATGTCAATAAACCAAGACTTGATAATTTACTTGTTTTGACTATAAATATAAAAAAATTCCTGAGCTTTGCACACACGGTAATTGAGGGAGAGATAATGATAGAAGAAGCCAGGCTTTTAAAACACTAATGATTTCCTAACTTTGACAAGAGTTGACACAAAATATTGGAGAAGTTATTGTTCAGTTTATCCCCCCCCCCCTTCCCCCATCAAACTACTGCTGTGTCTGTCCCGTCAAACTACTGCTGTGTCTGCCCTGTCAAACTACTGTTGTGTAGCATCAGAAAACAGAATCATGTATTTATTTTGATAGGTAAATCATAAAATCAGTAGAATCCAGAAATGTCAACATTTATAGAAGAAAAATTGGGCCTACTTTGAGGGTGTGGTCTTGGCTTGCTGTGACAATCCTCCCTCCTGCACACTGGATGATATTGATAGGCAACTGATGAGCCCGGCAGGTGGTCACCCCAGCACATCGAATAACCTCATCCCACATTTTGATACCATCTGTACTTCCAGTGCTGTGGTTGCGAGCATGGCCTAAAATTTAAAAAAAAAAAAAATAAACCTTAAATAATATTTACATCTTAACCAGGCAGCTATGATATACAATTATCAAAAATGAGTTGAGAAAATAAAAATGTTGATTCCCTTATCTCGTGTTCAGTGGGTCAGGACACAATATTTAATAAGCTTCTTACTTATGACTGCTAAAGTATATTACATAAACCAAGTTATTGTAAAAGATGTCAACTAAGACTGAAAAGAGTTGGAAAGGGTTAGACTTAGAGAAGATAGCTAGAAAATGGAAGTCTTGGAAAGACATTGTTCACTGCCTATGCTCCACTGGGCGCTGAAAAGGCAAAGAAGAAGTTGATGTCATCAAATGTTAAGTCTAATCTTGAGTCAAATTTTTACTACTGACCCCTGTTCTGCCTGGATGGTTGAGGCAGGACTGGGGCTGGGTTGAATACTGGATTATGGAAGGTTTCCATCTCTAGAAAGTCTAGTGTCCCATCAAGTCTGGCCGCAACAATCCTTCAGGGAAAAACACAACAGGCATTTAATTGAACACAGAGATGAAGATTTTTCTTTAAGTTAAATTTTAACATTCAGCATTTATTTTTATTTAACTTGAATTTAGGGAGACAAAAGCTAGACATGGTAGAGGTATTCTTGCATACCATTAAATATATATATTTTTTATCATATTTACATGTTTGCTAGTACTTAAAGTATTGTATAATGGCCATACAATTGTATTGAAGCTGTCATACACTGCCTACTACTACTACACAGTTACTTTGTTACAGCTGCGTTTTAGGCCAAGTGCCCTATATTTTCTAAATTATCTCAACCATTAGGTCTTCATCTCCAACAATGGGGAGATGGTGATCCATATTTTAAACAGTGGTATCATAAATAAATATCTTTAGAGAAACCTTTCATTTAAACATCCAAATAATCTTTCAAAATTACCTATTGGCGACCACACAAAGTCCCGTCACACCACAATCCCTAGTCCCGTGGTGGAAGCGTAACTCTCCTGACTCAGCCTCCCAAATCTCAATGTGCCCGTTGCCACAACCTGTGACTATCAGACCATGCATAATGGCCAGACACCAAACAGATGTTGCCTGCTCACACATTGAATCTTCATCAGCTGCTGAAACATCTAGAGCGGATTGTTCCCCTGTTGGCATTCAAAATAAAAGAGGATTTAGAGACACTGAAGCTGAAACTTTCTCAATGGAACATGGAGAGTTTTATTGAGCACCTTATGACAACAGTAAAACACCTCAGCAAAGCATTCAACTTGTGAGTCCATTCAGGTGAGTTCCATTTCACAATGTAGGAAATGTAGATTGTCTCCAATGTGTAACTTGGGTGAACACAGGATAAAACTAAACTACTTAGGAGCTCCACTCTAAATTTGTATGCAGCCTATGGGCAGCTGCCTCAGGTTTAAACATTCAAGAGGTGTAAAATTAAATTAAAATGAGGAATATACCCTTACACCATTTTTATAGAGTCATGTGCATTGCCAACCAATTTTTGATCATAACTTGATGATATAAGGTAAACTACTTCATTCCATGAAATTTAAATACCAACATAGTAACTGCTGTGCCCTATTCATCCATTTATCTGGCTATGAAAAAAAATTTTTGTTAGAAAAGCTCTATTGCCAATTTGTGCTATGTAGAAGAGAGGTAAAAAAAAAATAGTCTCACCATAACTCCAGCTACGTGTCCTCTCTTGGGGGCTGGTCAACAATGTCAGGTCGGTGGCACTCTGCACTCTCAAGTTAGGATATGTGTGACCTTCTGATTCTAGTAACCTACGATGCTCTTCATACAAACCTGCAATGAATCATTTTGTTGTGCAAAGTTTGTCAATATATTTCATCTAATCAAACAAATATAACTTTCAACAATAATGGAAAACAAATTATTTGTTCAAAGAAATCTTTTTACATCATTCCCAAGTATCCTGAACTTGCTTACATTATTACATGTGTGGTTTTTCTAAATTAAACATTAAAATATGAACTGATGAATTATGCAGAGTTTAAGACTGCATGGTGTAGGCTCCCTCAAAGTAATTTATCTTATTTCACTATGTTGAGCCTTGTTATAAACAGATTTCTTTATTTAAAATTTTTTTTTTTTTTTTTTAACAGCTGAACTACTAATAAGGAAAACAAAAAAACTGCATTGACTCCATTAAATTGAGTATCTATTTATAAATCCTTAATCGATATTGGACAATCAGAATTTATTAGTGTAAGAAAAGCATTCAGTGAGTCAGAGAGGAGGAAATTGGTGAAGTGCAGTATTCAATATGTTTTATTCATGTTTCTGGCAGTGGCATTTCACATTTTTTATAATGGCAACATATATAAACATTATTTGCTTGCGACTTCAGAAAGTAAGAAACCTGATACATATAAATAAGGGTCAACACCACCCCCATAAAATTTCCCCCACAGTAAAAAAAAAGGTTCCTAAACCCCTTGATGCTTTCAATAAATCCTGTAAGAAGGTCAAGGTTGTCATTTCATTGATACTTTATTTTAAACCATAAACAATACAACAAGTGAATCAAATACAGGTTCCTGAATGAGAACCAAATCAATCACAAACACAAAAATTGTTGACTACTGAAGAAATACTAATTCACAGAAATCCATCACCAATGTCTCAACTCTAATGAATAAAAAAATAAAAAATGGATAATTAATTTTACTCACAACCAAAACAAAAATGGGGGGGGGGAGCCGACCCCTTCCAGCATGCAAATGCACAAGCCATAAAAAAAAAAAAAAGAACACAAAAGCATTCAAAACAAAAAAATTTTTGAATACTGAAAAAATAATAATTCACAGAAATCCATCACCAATGTCTCAACTCTAATAAATAAAAAAAAAAAAAATGGATAATTAATTTTACTCACAACCAAAACAAAAATGGGGGGGGGGAGCCGACCCCTTCCAGCATGCAAATGCACAAGCCATAAAAAAAAAAAAAAGAACACAAAAGCATTCCAAGACAGGAAGTTTAAGCAAAGAGTTGCATGCATGGAAAAACTGACCTTCAAACCAACTTTTAAAGTCATAACCACCGGGTGAGCTTTGGTGGGCCCGCGGATCCATAGAGGAGAACTCTGTGTTGATGGTTGAGACCAGGTCAGGTCGTAGGTCCTCGTAAATGCTGTGGCTGGTTTTCCTAGAGAGCCCTGTCCGCTTACTGCGCCCCCCACTAGCATCAGCCCATGAGGAATTACCTTTTCTTATCCTCACACCATCCCCTCCACCTCCCTCGGCTAATGAAGTTTCAGAGGAACTCCTACTTCCATGGAATTCAGCGTACAAATCTGCATCACTGTCTTCTATGTTGCGCCCCACACAAGGTCTCCTTCGCGTCTGAGGAGTGATGCTGAAGAACAAAAAATAATTTTAAGTATTTTTTGAAAGTTCTCACTATTTACTGCTAAACACAAAATACTAGTTTCTCAGTCACAATTACCTTTTCCTGGTGATTGTGTTTATACACTCCCCTGAATTGGAGTCCCAGACTTTCAACTGGCCACCCAGACAGCAACTGATGATCAAGCCATTGTCACCTAGCAAACACTCAATACTCTAGAGAAAACATGAAAAAGATTATGATAAAATTTTTAACCACTTTACATTTTAAAATGATTTTGAGAATTTTTAAAAGTAATTCTTTTTTTGTGTGCTCGATATGAAATTTATTAGGACATAAAAGAAAGACAAATTTTAATCCCATGTCATGTTCATTGGTGCCTTCTGACTTTGGGTGGTGAGTTTATTTTTTTCCCTGCCCCAATAAGAGATGACTTGCTGGGTTGGGTACATTTCACCCAGGTCTTTGCCGAAAGCTAGGGACCATCCCCCCATTAAATTACACCACCATTGAACAAGATGGATGCCAAAAACCTATTTTAAAAAAAACAGCTTGCACTTAAAATTCACAATAAATGTCAGAGATAAGTGGATGGTGACATATAAAACAAACCTGTTTGTGTCCAGCCAACACAAGGGGCATGGACTCTTTAATCTGTTTAAAATAACCCTTGGAACGCCTGCGGCCTCCTCGACCCCATGAATGCCGCCATCGTGAATAGTTCCTTGAACACATGCACCGGTACAGGTAAGACATGAAGTATGAGATGATGATAACAGTCAGAAAACAAAGAATGACAGTGTAGACATATTCCCTCTCAGACTTTGGGTAGAAGTTGTCAAACTGACGGTAGTGATTTTCTCCTTGTTCTTGGGAGTCATTTTCTCCTGTGGACAATTTGATAGTGAACTTAACACGATAAAGCCATTTTGATTAATCATAAATAATCATATAATAGAATGGGTTGATATATAACAACTTCAGTAATATACAAATGATTCAGAAGGGACTCATCTAGATAAAAATTGAGCTGTAGCTTGAAAATGCTTCCCTTTGATGCAACAAATATACATTTCAATAATTTTTAAATCATTTATTTTAAATGTGATTTTATTTTAATCATCTTGATCCATGTAGAGGTAATTCTTTCATTGATCGTGCACTTATTGTTCTATACTAACTACCTTTCAGGTGCACCGATTCAAGCTTGGGCAAACAATACAAAGAATATGGTAAAACATAGAGTTTGCAGGTTTTCACATAGAGGGCTTCCACCACTTAACATAACACTTCGTTGGCAACACTGAAATCTTCACACACAAGTTTTCTAATTCCTTCTTGTTTCTTATTTTTTTCTCGTCTGCTGAAGAAGGGGTCTAGCCGAAAAGTCCTTTTAATTGTCCTGTCTTTTCATTTCAAGCCTAAACATGTCTTGTTCCACTATTTCCTTCACATGGCTCCAAGGCAGCTCTCATATATTCTCCTGTGTTGTTAATGGGGATACTTCTTCATTACTTATTAATTTCTAAATTTTAACACTTTAAGACAGTGGTTCACAACCTTCCTAAAGCCGTGACCCTTTAACACAGTTCCTCATATTGTGGCGACCCCCGGCCACATAATTATTTCTGCTGCTACTTCATAACTGTAGCGCATATGCGTTTTCAGATGGTCTTAGGCGACCCCTAGGAAATAGTCGTGCGACCAACAAAGGGGTCACGACACACAGGTTGAGAACCACTGCTGTAAGGAATCAGTGTACAAAGACTATTTGTTTTGAAAGGATTGATAACCTAAAGTCTTTTTTCCAAAATATGTCCCTCAGTTTCAGAAGAAGCAACCTGTGTCCAAAGCGTTGCGCTCCTTCCACAGACTTACCCACATGCGGATCCTCATTGTATGAAACATAAGAGGTAAAAGCAGATCTGGACGCCGCTGCTTCTTTATCTGTGGGGTGCCTCAATTCAATGGCCACACGTGGATCTATAAGTTCTGATAGGTGGATAGTCGGCAAAATACTGATGTACCTGAAACACCAATATCACTTCCACAGTTAAATCAACGATGTGAAAGGTGGACTTTCTAAAAGCTCTAAAGGATATGAAAAGCTGGACATTCTAAAAGCTCTAAATGATTTGAAAAGGTGGACTTTCTAAAAGCTCTAAAGGATGTGAAAAGCTGGACATTCTAAAAGCTCTAAATGATTTGAAAAGGTGGACTTTCTAAAAGCTCTAAAGGATGTGAAAAGCTGGACATTCTAAAAGCTCTAAAGGATGTGAAAAGCTGGACATTCTAAAAGCTCTAAAGGATGTGAAAAGCTGGACATTCTAAAAGCTCTAAATGATTTGAAAAGGTGGACTTTCTAAAAGCTCTAAATGATTTGAAAAGGTGGACTTTCTAAAAGCTCTAAATGATTTGAAAAGCTGGACATTCTAAAAGCTCTAAATGATTTGAAAAGGTGGACTTTCTAAAAGCTCTAAATGATTTGAAAAGGTGGACTTTCTAAAAGCTCTAAATGATTTGAAAAGGTGGACTTTCTAAAAGCTCTAAATGATTTGAAAAGGTGGACTTTCTAAAAGCTCTAAATGATTTGAAAAGGTGGACTTTCTAAAAGCTCTAAATGATTTGAAAAGGTGGACTTTCTAAAAGCTCTAAATGATTTGAAAAGGTGGACTTTCTAAAAGCTCTAAATGATTTGAAAAGGTGGACTTTCTAAAAGCTCTAAAGGATGTGAAAAGGTGGACTTTCTAAAAGCTCTAAAGGATGTGAAAAGTTGGACATTCTAAAAGCTCTAAAGGATGTGAAAAGGTGGACATTCTAAAAGCTCTAAAGGATGTGAAAAGGTGGACATTCTAAAAGCTCTAAAGGATGTGAAAAGGTGGACATTCTAAAAGCTCTAAATGATTTGAAAAGGTGGACATTCTAAAAGCTTTAAAGGATGTGAAAAGGTGGACATTCTAAAAGCTCTAAAAAATTGTGTCATATTATGGTTGTGGTTGTGATACTTGTGTGCTACATAAGCAAAAATGGTTCTGCTTCTTTAGAAAATATGAATGGGCTACAAAAGTGGAAATGATTGTGCTACATTAAAAAATATGAGTGGCTAACAAAAAGGTATTTATCTAAAGAAAACAATTAATGTTCTGAAATTGACTTGTTTAAAAATGTTATGCTAATAGATAACTTTACATTGTCGATTTTATTACCAGAAACATTACAGAATATTTTTTATAAAGAAATACATGATACACATTTTTAACAGACTACGTAAAATATTAGAAAATTAAAGTGAATAAACTTATATGATATCTTTGAATCTCACCTTCCGCTGAGACTGATGTTGTAGTAATGAAATAGTGTCGGCCAGTGTTTGTTGGACAGCTTCCTCCACAGCTCCAAGTCTGTGTGCTCTACGAGTCCTGTCTCCTGTTCATCTTCTCTCAAAGACTTGCCACTTTGAGAAGCTACATCTTCATCTGGTCTGATAGCAATAGTAAACCATCAAATTATTTTCAAGACACTTGTAGGAGATGTACAAATGCTCAAGGTGTATATAAGCATATGACTGAATCATTATTCATTATACCAAAACACTCTGTGAACTCTTACACTCTTTAACCACATTTCTTTCATCTAGTTTCATACTGTAGACCAAATTAATATAGTGTCAAAATAATTTTTTTGGCCCTCTTATTATACTCAATAATTACCATAACCGTTATTGTTTATTAACATCATCAACATCCATCTAAAGGCTTTATTTAAAATACCTTATCGACTCAGTCGGGGGTCCGACATCCCCAAGGTGTTTAGTATTAAATGGCTTGGGTACTGAGCTGATGTTGTCATCCCCAGTTAACTTGTCCACAATGCCAGCCTTGTACAGGATCAGAATAATCCACAAGACTGTGCACAACTGAAAGAGGAAAAAAAAGCATTTTTTTAGGATTAATGTTGTTACGTTATAGCTATTATAAGTGAATAGGACGATTTTCCAATCTAATCTACTTTGGGAGTAAAATGCAGCGGGCCATCGAGCCTAAGCTCATAAACACTCCAGAGTACCCCCCACCCACGTCCCTCTCAAGCAGAGTAGCTGGGATGAAATGTTTGCCTAGGAACAGTCCCCCCCACTGACTTTGTTTATGATAAAATGATTACTATGGGCTGCCACTAGCCGCCACATACATCATATCCAACAACTGCAACTAGTTATCAACTGTAGACAACGCTATAGTTAATTCTGTAGTTGCTACAGTTTTAAACCCCATGTAAAATATCAGTAAATTAAAACAATATAATTTTCAGCACACTTTTGCCTGCCCATGCATGGAGGTGATGTGCCCAGGGATTGTGGGGCGGTGGGGTTTAAAGATATTAAATATTTCCACCAGACACTAAGCACTCTTAAAAACTGCATACAATCGAGGGAACAAAGAAAATGCCAAACTATTATCAACTTTGAGCTTCAGGCACACAAAGTAAATAACTAAACTTTTAAATTTGTCAACAGTACAAGAGTCATTAGTTCACATATTATGTTATTTTTATCAACCTAAAGTTCTTATGCAAGGTTCATAAAAAGTTTGGAAATAGTAAATGTACAAGAAGAAAGGAAATTAGCTTACCATTATCAATTTTTGAACTATTCTAAACCTTGCCAGGAAATAAAAAAACTTAACACGACGGGGCATTTCATATTTGGGCCTCTCGGGCTGTGGTGATGACCTAAAGAAGGCTTGACCTTGGGGGCCTGGTCTGTTTGGTGAAGGGGGAGGAGAAATATGGTTTGGCTGTCTGACCGGAATGTGGAGAGGGGGGCTAGGGTCGGGGGGTGGAACTGAATGACTCCTTGAAGACTGGCTTTTCTGTCTTGATGCAACCGGGCACAGGACCAGTGGCTGGATATTGACATACGCACTGCTGCTGTCATCTTGCACCGCTTGCTGAACACTTTGGCGATGTAAGTCTGACAGCTATGACAGAAAACACTGATCATTAGAAACTAGCAGTGTGCAGGAAATGTAACAAAATATTATGGTCCAACAGCAGACAAATTCATTCAGGCAAGTTATTTAGTGTCACTCAGATCAATTAAAATAGCAAGAAGAGTTTTCCCTAATTTAAGTTTGTATGGCTGACTTCAAGCATAACAAGAATTACAATTTGTAAGGCAGATTGTACATAATAAGAATTAAAGTTTGTATGGCATACTTAAAAAAAAGAAGAATTATTAAAGTTTGTGAGGCTGATTTGAAACATAATAAGAATTATATTAGGGCCTATTTTCAAAGAAAAAAATGCCATAGAAACTACACGATCAGTTCTGTGTAATTTCAACTGTAATGAGATAGCATTTTGGTAATGACCTTTTTCTCAACCAAAGCCTATGACAAATAATATAAAATTCTATTCAATCTCCTTTAACCTTTCTAGCACATGAACCTTCAAGCCAAATATAACAAACAGAATTTATGTATTTATTTTTAGTTCCCAACAAATAAAGAAGTTCAATACATCTGTAAAAGTAAAGCTCTTTTTGTTTTTATTTGATTAAGGAAACCAACGTTCATAAAATCATCAGAACGACAGAATTGTGCTAAAACTCACCTACAATTTAAACATGTCCGAAGTTAGGAAAACCTCAGGTTAAAACTCACCTCCATTCTACGAATGTCTACAGATAAAACTGTAGCAAAAAATGCCATTTGCAGGTAAAAATCTGATAGCAATCCAACCAAAGCAAATGCACAAAACTCCTGTGAAGAATCCAAACATTAAAATAATGATTAAATGGTGGTTGACTATTATTCACCGGCTCCCTTTGAGACACACATGAAGTAATGCAATCATTGAAACAATCCAAATGTATCAAAGAAACACTAAAACTATAATAATATTCATAACAATTAATTTTACTTTTACACCTTCGAACAATTAATTTTACACCATCGAACATTTAAAGTAAACAAGGTTAACCTGTATCGCTGGTGCGAATGTAAAGAATCCAACAAAAACTATTGCAAGCTCAGTGACCAGGTTTTTTGTGATGGACCAGCCTTCTCTGCTCAAGCCTGAAACATAAGATGACAACAAATGACAATGAAAGCAACACACTCTTATTTCCTCATCAAATGTCAGTTTAATTTAATACTTGGGTAATACCAACTTCAGCTAAACACAAAATAAGAGTTGTAAGTTCCCCAAGGAGATTATGATGTCATTTACTGAGGGACAGTTTTTTTTTTTTTTAAAAAGCAGCAGGCCTGCAAGCTCTTTAACTGGGAAAACACCTTTATTCCATCTGAGGAAAATGACAGACTCAGGTATATAAGACAGACTTAAGTCAATTTGACAGACAAAGTTCAATATGACAGACTAATACATATCTGACAGAATTAGTTAAATATGACAGACTTAGGTCTATATGACAGATATAGGTAAATATGACAGACTTAGGTCTTAATGACAGACTTAGATCTATATGACAGACTTTGGTCTATATGACAGACATAGTTCAATATGGGTCACCTTAAAAAAGATCACATAAACCCCACAACAAGTGAGCAGACAGTAGGGGGTGGAGCATCTCTGTTCATGTACACAAGAAATACAAGCTGGTGTAGGGGGTGGAGCATCTCTGTTCATGTACACAAGAAATACAAGCTGGTGTAGGGTGTGGAGCATCTCTGTTCATGTACACAAGAAATACAAGCTGGTGTAGGGTGTGGAGCATCTCTGATCATGTACACAAGAAATACAAGCTGGTGTAGGGTGTGGAGCATCTCTGTTCATGTACACAAGAAATACAAGCTGGTGTAGGGGGTGGAGCATCTCTGATCATGTACACAAGAAATACAAGCTGGTGTAGGTGGTGGAGCATCTCTGTTCATGTACACAAGAAATACAAGCTGGTGTAGGGTGTGGAGCATCTCTGTTCATGTACACAAGAAATACAAGCTGGTGTAGGGGGTGGAGCATCTCTGTTCATGTACACAAGAAATACAAGCTGGTGTAGGGGGTGGAGCATCTCTGTTCATGTACACAAGAAATACAAGCTGGTGTAGGGGGTGGAGCATCTCTGTTCATGTACACAAGAAATACAAGCTGGTGTAGGGGGTGGAGCATCTCTGTTCATGTACACAAGAAATACAAGCTGGTGTAGGGGGTGGAGCATCTCTGTTCATGTACACAAGAAATACAAGCTGGTGTAGGGGGTGGAGCATCTCTGTTCATGTACACAAGAAATACAAGCTGGTGTAGGGGGTGGAGCATCTCTGTTCATGTACACAAGAAATACAAGCTGGTGTAGGGTGTGGAGCATCTCTGTTCATGTACACAAGAAATACAAGCTGGTGTAGGGGGTGGAGCATCTCTGTTCATGTACACAAGAAATACAAGCTGGTACATGAACAGAGATGCTCCACCCCCTACACTGGCTTGTCTTTCTTGCGTACACTGGCTTGTCTTCCTGGTGTACACTGGCTTGTCTTTCTTGTGTACACTGTCTCAAACAACCTTAAAATTGCAAGGTGTATCCTTCTACAATAAATAAAATGATCAGCTCACCTTGTGCCACCCTTATCTTCACATCCAGGTGAACAGGTGTAGACACAACTGACTTTGTGATCACAAGGACATTCTCCACACCAACTATGACTGCTAGGTAGGGAAAAATTTCACTGGGGAGAGCAAGGGGCATTGACTTGATTTTCTATTTTTAAAAGTCTCAAATTCACCATAAGATAAAGGCAAGAGCAATCATAAAAAAATTTAACTATTGACAATAATTTTTTTTTTTTTTAATGTTTAAATGGTAATATATCTGTATGTCTATTCCTATCACTGAAACTTACAAATAGCAAATTGTCTTTGACATCTGCTGTGTGTAAAATTAAAAAAATGCACGTATCATTATCACATGCTTACATAGATCATGTTTTAAACATTTGAGCTACAATGAAGATAAATATCTCACCCTCCATTCAAAGTAGGCGTCATGCCAAACAGAGTGCAAATACTGACAGACATAAGGAGGGAGGCTATGACTGTGACAACTGCACTAATGGCTAGGCCAATCTTGGACTTGACCATGTCAATTTTAGCTGAAAAGATCCAAAAAAAAAAAAAATTCATTTCATTATTAAGATTTCCTTGTATGGTGAATATTACATACATGTTTTCTTCCAACAAAATCATATACAGAGTCTCTCTGGTAAGTGAAAAATTGAGGCAATAAAATAATGGCAGCAAGGGACTCTTTACAGAAATAAAAATAAATTAATAAAGAGCATGGTTTTACATAGCAATATTATAATAATAATGCCAAGATGTCCATCTGCGCTATTTAATAAATGAAGTCCAAACCACGCATATCATTCGCAAGGTGTCCCATGGGTTGATTTTAATCTTCCTAACTAAATCAAACCACGCAAAGGTGTCCCATGGGTTTATTATTCCTAACTTAATCAAAATAATAAAGATTTCATAATTAATTTGTTTCATGTCCATTCCATATTGATTGATCAAACCATGCTAAGAAATTAAATATATATGATGTGGGACAAAGGCTTCTCTAATCCAAGCAGTAACATCTGTCCCATCAGTAATACCACTTCTAATACAACTCTAAACACTTTATGGTTAAGTTTAAATCCATGGGGAAATTTTGTATTTTCCCTGTAACATTAGTAAATGGTAATGTTTAGTAAGAATCGATTAGGTCTATTCTTCAACTTACATACAGAAAAGTAGAGATACAACAAAAGAACAAGGTAGATAACAAGGAGTGGGGTATATTCTATAATGTAGTTCACATCCTTGAAATGAACATGTACAATATCTTCTATCTCCGAGTTGTTGACATTGTACAATGTATTGGGATGGCGATCTTCAAGCATCTTTGATAGATTTGAAATAAACCTATTAAAAAAAAACAAAGATAAATTGTCAGAAAAAAATGAGTACAACTGTAACTTTTGCATTTTAAATTATGATTACCAGTACTGTTTTCTATTTGTAGATACCTAAAATTTATTGACATCTCTACATTTTTTTGTGTTAGATTGTGTAGTTCAAATTTCAGAACAAAATTTTCATCCATTCCCAACATGGGTGGTCAAGTTGTTTTTACAACCATAACAGGCGGCATGGGTACAATGGTACCTTTATATATTTTGCAAGAAAATATTCAGTGCAGGTATATTTTCTTTACAGTATTCAGCATCTACACATCATTTAGGTTAAGTATTGTAATATAGCACAGAAGAGCTTTGATTTTAAAAATGCCGATTAGCTAAAAAATATTTTAATTTCAAGAGGGGGAAATCTTGGGAGAGTACCCAAACTACCAGGACTTGACCCCCTGGTGATGCATATACTTTTGAAAAGTCAAAGAAAGGAAATTATTTTGTTTGCACTTTTCTATCAGTATTTTTGCATAAAAAATAAAAATATAATACAATGCCATGGACATTGAGTGCGATAAATATAATAATAAAATAGGGGCCATTCGAATAACCAACCTTTTGAATAAAAAGCATTCGGAAAATCAATGCTCTATTGTACTATTTTAAAAATTCAACCTAAATAATGTTGTGATATTGAATACGGCACAGAATGTATAACTACACTAAAAATTTTCATACAAAATACATTTGATTGATTGATGGATTGGATATTTATATCCATGCTACTTTAGCACGCTCACTGCGCTCTGGTTTTTCTTAAATCTATTTAAACAAAAAAGGTTTTAAATGTTTCTTAAATGATTTTTTATCATTTTCAATTCCCCTCATTGTACCTATGCCGCCTCAGGAGGGTTAAAAGGACATTTCAGTTAAGACAAGACAAGAAGCAAACCAATAATTTAAACAAGAAACAACAAATAATTTAGTTTCTAAATAGAGACTGAGATCTCTTTAATTTCTAATAATTTGTTGTTTCCTGTCCCCCCCCCGAGCCCATACATGTTTTTTTCCACTATTTATTTAATTTACATGGCTTAGCAGTCCCTCATACATAAGCAAATAGTATAAGAGAGCTGTTTATAATTTTTCATATGCATTTTAAGATAAAGATATATATAATGTCTATATATCAACTAACAATTTAAAATTCATGGCAAAAAATACTTACATAGGATCATATTTCCTCAAGATGATGGTAACAGCGTAACCAATAATCCGTTGACGATTGCGAATGTAGTATCTGGTAATCCCGGTGTATCCCCAAGGTATTCCAAACAAGAGATCTACATAAGATACAGAAAGTTAGAACCAAACATTGTTTCCAGAAATGCTAGAGCAATTGGTCTCAAGCCTCAGCCTAGAAATCTGTGTGATGTTTACAATTAGACTGAGTTCAACAGCTATAATGATCTGACACAAAACAAGATAACAATTTTTCATAACATTAAAATGGAGAATGTAAAATTTAGTTTTTTATATATTAAATCAGCATTAAGCCTAGAATTTACCCTTGGCTGTTGGAGGGCTTTCCACAACTTGTCCAAATTTTTTGTATACAGTTTTCATCAGATTTGGATCATTGTTGAAACTGCAGAATAAAAAGTTTTGTTTGAACAGCAGACTTAAATGAAATGAATCTAACTGCAACTATTGATAGTAACAAAGTGATTTTTGAACAGCTCCTGTTTAGCTTTCATCAAATAAATGCATTTAAAGCAGCTAAAAGCCCCTTGTAGAATCCTTCAACCAACTTTATTGACATAAAATCATTAAACACCTCTTTCATTAATTTACCTATTGATGTCCCGTCTCCAGAAATTAGCAGGGGAGATAAGGAAACAGGAATACTCTGGAAACAGCTCACGAAGATGACGAGCCTTTAACGGCTCTGAAATTCTGTAACAATGTTCATCCAGCGATTGCTCCTTATTGCTGTGTGATTGAAATTATTTTAAAAAGTTTATCAATAAATATTTCATAAAATCTAAATTAATAAAATACTGAATAATGATTTAGTATCTCTTTTTATAAAATAATAAGTCTATTAACTATAAAAAAAAAAATCAGAAGCTACCCCTCATCATATTTGAAGCTCTCCAATTCCTGAATGACTTTGAAGACAGATGCTAATGGGCCTCGGAAAGCATCTGAGGCAATCAGATTCTGTGACCATGGTGATACTGCAGACTTGACCACAACTTGTTGAACATATGCCACTGGTTCTCCAACAAACTAATATTGATGAAGAAAGCATTTTTTTTTAAAACAGATAACTATAAAAGTAAATGAAATCATAAGTAGAAGACAGTTTTAATTTACATTAGGCACACTATAAACTTATCACACATCTACCTACCCATCTTGGCTTTTTATCATCAACAGTGCCATCTGGCAAAAAAGCTTGAGAACTACTGCCTTGTGTGAAGCCTAACTTTGGAGTCCTGTGTTCTATAGGTGTGTTGCCAGGCAGTGGTAGATTGCTCAATGGATAACTGAATAAAGGAAAAAAAAAATCTTTATATATTAACTGACTTTAATTTGATCCCTGATAAAAAGTAAAATTATAACATCCATAAGAAAAAGTTATTTATTTAACATTTTTTGCAATTAAATATGTAGATCCATTTATGGTTGATGGAAAAAAAAATTGTTTTTTTGTTAAATTATAAAAGTTCACAAATTGATAATAATTTTTAATTTTTTTATATTTCAAAATAAATGTAATTGTTATTTTTTAAGTCCATCAGCAATCTACACAAAATCTAATATGGTCCTCTCCTGACCCCACAAGCATAAATAATATATAGATAACACTGTAGTGATATTTACCATGTTACAAAAACTACAAAGATGACGGAGATGATTGTAGCAAATGGATGACTAGCACAAAATAATCCATGTGTATAATAGATCTGAGCAATGCGGTCATGAAGAGACTTGATGGTGAGCATTCCACAGGGCAGAGCACTTTATCAAGAGCTCAGATGTTTTGTAATATTTTTATTTCAGTTTTTGATAATTTTAATGGTTTTGAAGATGGAAAAGATAATATGTTGGGCCAAATGTCTTGGGTCTCACAATCTGGCATGACTTCTCAATAAATGGTCAGCCTAGTAAAAATGATAAAGATGTAAAACACTTAGATAAAATTTTACTAATATTAGAAAAATGTAGATAAGACTTAAATCTAGCAGATAAATTAGAATCACTTTGAAGTTGAAACTGTTTTATCTCAATAAACATATATTAACCCTTTCTAGACCACTGTGCGGAAAGGTGTAGGGCAGCAACTGTCAACTAGAAGTGGTGTCTCAAAACATTGACAGGAGTGTCGCAAGATTTTGATTAAATGGAATTAAACAGTTGAATTTCACTTATTCATTATAGAGCATAATCATCTCCAACTATGTGGAAACAGCTGGATCCAATGGGATGGTGATAAACCTTATGTACAAAACATCAACCATCAAGGTCAGAAGCTAATTTGGTCAGAGATTTCATGCTGTAAGCATTTATTTACTCAGTACATGCCTTGCCGTTGCAATTTAACATTATGACTATCAATATTAAGTTTGGGGAGAGAGCATCACAGTCTTTCGTGTGGTACAGTTCTCTGACCTGGTCAATCCAATTCATACACACACAGACACAAATTAAAAAATTAATAAAATATGCTGGCCATTTCAAATGAAGTGCATTCACTAGGCTAAAAAGTAAAATACGATTTCAAATTTTACCAACAATGCCTATACTCATTTCTGATAATACTCAATAAAATTAACAGGGTAAGCCGAAGGGGCTTAGTATTGTCTAATCTCTATTAGTAGTAGTAATCAGCGAGAAGCAGGGGGATGGGGACGTGGGGGAGGGTCTGAAGCGGCACCACTATTTACAATTTTTAAATATATGGACATGGAGGGGTAGCACTTTCATGCATCAGTCTGTCTTCTACTGGCAGTCAGCACCAGCCCTAGCGACGTCACTGTCGAGCAGTACTAGTATAAAAAAGTGTTTAAGTTGTGGCATGGCAGTATTAAAAAAAAGTACTGAACAAGTAGGCCTATTCTCATTGTTTTGAGAAGTAGTAAAAGTAAAAGTAGTCCTTAGACCTTATCCTAAAAGTAGTATAATATATTATAATTAACACTTATTTAACCTTTTAAATGAACAAAATAATAAAAAGTACACACTCTACATTAGTTCTAGTAACAACAAAAGTAATACTATTAAGTAATAGTAATAGTTAATAGAGTTTGAGAGTAGGCCTATCCTGTTTAGTGTGAATCTATATTTATATTCTAATAACTACAGTCATAATTCATATAATCAGAATAGTTTGAGAATAGCTAGGCCTAATTTGTGCAGTCAAGTCTCAGACTTTTTAAAGCTAGCAACTAGACTAAATACTATAATAGTACTATACTACACTATACACACTACACGAGATAGATTGTTTAATTTTTTAGTGACTAGTTTACTAGTGAGTAAGTCGCATGTTTACAATTTTAATTTTAATTCAATTTATTAATTTTTAAAATTGTTGCAAAAAAAAAAAAAAACACCTTATAATTATCTCCATTTTAAACAAATTTATATACAGATAAAACGTACCCATAATAATGTTATGCAGAAATATCAATATTTTCTATAAGTATTTACTTTTAAAGCGGTACACAATGTAAAAAAAAAACAAGCGAGACTTTTCAGTGATAACCTAACCGGAAGTGTCTCCATTTGTTTTTTTTAGTAACCTAAGTGTAACAGAGAATAAATCCTTCTTTTCTATTGGTAGGATAGTAGCGAGGAAAAGGAATATTCCACAATAATAATTACAAATGAAGGCCACGGGCAAAAAAGTACACTTGGGCCCCTACACTACCCTCTCAACAATAGTATGATTCAATCGGAACTCTAAAATCGTATGTTATTTCAGACTATCAGAGACTTGTCCAAAATTTCTAAATTATATCTTTCCCCCAAAAATAAAATTTTAAAAGTCTAGGCCAGCATTCTCTCGTAAATAATAATAATAGTAATTTTCCCCGATGGAGCCATTATTATGGAATCATTCAACTACATAAGGGTTTCTTAGCCAGGGGTGCCCGTACACCGGTCGGGGTGTGAAGGGTTGACACAGTGGGTACGGGATGACCCCGAAATAAGGTCGTGCCAAGAAAATAAGAATAAGTGGCACCCGGTCGAACCCTCAAAGTATCCCTCCTGTGCCTAAATAAATTGAGAAAAATGACTAACGGGGCGGAACAGTAAAACGAGTTTTGACGCCCATTGTCTTTGTGAATTAAAAGGGGTTTTATCGTTCAATTCACTATTAAGATCCTTTATGAAAAAAGATTTTGCACCCCTGACGCTGGCACCCGGGCCGAGTAGGCTACCCCATTCACCTTCTACCCCCTTTCCCTTTAAAAAAAAAAACAGGTTTATTTTCCTTTTATTATAAGCATTTTTGTGATCGTGTCAGTGCAAGAAATTTGTCTTGAAATAGTGATGGGAGTGAGGGAAACATTTTTAAAATCAAGAGGTGTGTGGTGCTGCAGAAAAAAATCTAAGAACCCCTGGAATTCACTGTACACTACACGCTGGAAATAGAGTTCATTTGAATACTTCAGATATACTTTGTTTACTTCAGATATTATCGTCAAAATAAAACCCATAAGGGACCCAGGCTGTTTTGAGACGTGAATCCCGATGAATAGGCCAAGATTGCTAAGTTGAGATTTGAGTTTTGCTTCGGTGGATGCATATTGAATTGGAAGCTGCAACAGTATGTCCTACTTTGTTATCACATCAAAGACCTTCATGTAAAAAAAAAAAAAATGTTCTGAATCTATTCCTGAAGTTTTATGAGGCCGTCCAGTATTTATATCAATAAATTTTAGGCAATTATTCACCACCCCCTCTCTGCCTTTCCAACTACTGTCAAACATTCAANAACTTGTTTCACACCCTATCCCCAAACAAATATTTTTAAAAATATAAATAATATGAAAATAAATACGGATCTTTTTGAATATTTAAGAGATAGAAATCGGCAGACACAACACATGTTGGCCTGTTAGGCTACATTTTTAAATACTTCATGAACCAAGCATGGGCGCCCACAGAAAACTTTCTGGGGGGGGGGCAAAAATTTTGTAGTAATGTTTTAAAGTAGTTTTAATTTACTGTAGTGTATTTGTGTGGTGAACGAACGGACAGGACGTCAGCTCACTTACTTTCTCTTTATTTTCTCTTTACTTTAATACATTTTTTGTCTATTTTTGTCTAAATTTTTTTTATCCAATCAATCCGGGGGGGGGGGGGCAAGTGCCCCACCTTGCCCCTACCTGTGGGCGCCCATGGAACCAAGTTTAAGTGGGCGCCCATGGAACCAAGTTTAAATTTGTAACAGAATCTATTACTAGGCCAATTTTATTTTGCAGAAGTAATTATAGAATTGATAGGGTCTAAATTAAATATTATTGCTATTAAATTTATTGGTATTTTTTACATCATCACGTTGCAATAGCGCAAAGGAACTGATTAAGTTATCCTTGCCGTATTACTTTGGAACCGGCTGGCATCGGCATTGTCTCGTCGAAGCATTCAGCCCTTTAAAATTGAAAATGACCACATTTTTCTGTTTGCAATTATTACTGCCATTGGCGCTCTCTAGCTTTTGGAAGCCAATCCAACAGGACCCATCTTTTTTGGTGTTGATGTTGTTGACGAGTGGGTGTTGATTTGAAAGTAAACTGTCCCCCCTCCCCCCCCCCAATTTCCCTGTTTTGTTGACGTAATTTACTGATAGCCCAAAACTTGACTTATAACTTATACATAAGTTAATAGCCATGAAAGCGTTGTACCATGAAACCGTGTTATGTGCCAAGACGGCCAAGCATGGCGGGGAAATGGGCGAAACACAGCTGGTGGTCGGCCTCCAAAATCTCAGTTAATATATATATATATTTTTTTTGTTCGATAATAGAGCAGTGATAGGTTGAATAAGAGGGTGCTCAAACTTTTCGAGCCGAGGGCCAGTTTCAGGGCCAGCCTCGTTGACTTTATGGCAACTCGTTAACAAATCGTTCCTTTCAAAATGTTTAAAACAATGTTATTTGCTTGTTAATATTATGAATAATGAAATCAATTTTAATGTTGAAATTAAAATCATGTTGACTTACTCAATTAATTAAATGAAACGCATTATTATTTTTATGTCAATTTTCCCACATATTTTCTTAGAATTCGTGACGTGCAATATTTTGATATTTGTGTGTTTTTTTAATTTGTTTTTTGCTATTGTGTTCTAAAACTGAGAGAGCCCCCCGTAATAATTATGTGGCTTATGATCTCCTGAACATGGGCACCCGCAGGAATTTTCCAAGGTGGGGTAAAAAAAAAATTCGGACATAATTTTTTCATAATATAGGCGCCTATAGGCCTAAGCTTATAATTGAAAGCTAAAAAGACATATACCTGTATATTACTTTTTAAATTAGAGTTTTTGTTTTTTTTTAAACATAAAACAGTCAATTTGAAAAAAAAATAAAAATTCATTTCATAAACTAAATTGGTAAGCTTATTATTTAAACTATGCAATGAATAAACTCACACATTTCTTGAATTCTTTAATTTCAATCTTTGTAAAGCAATTGAAGTCGGCGTTTATCGTTTCCAAATATTTCAATGACTTTCTGCACCAGCTCTGCCTTATTTCTGTTGACACGGAAACGCTGTAGACTACGCTAACTCAACCCTGAAAGATGTTTGTCAGTCATCGTCAAACAAAGCCAAGTTTTGACTCGCCTGAAGGTAACTATAGAAACGCCCACGGTGCCATGGGCGCCCGCAGAAAACTTTCTGGGGGGGGGGGCAAATTTTTTTTAGTAATGTTTTAATTTGACACGCCTGAAGGTAACTAAAGAAACGCCCACGGTGCCATGGGCGCCCGCAGAAAACTTTTTGGGGGGGGGGGGCAAATTTTTTTTAGTAATGTTTTAATGTAGTTTTAATTTACTGTAGCGTATTTGTATGGTGAACGAACGGACAGGACATCAGCTTAGTTACTTTCTCTTAATTTTATCTTTACTTTAATAAATTTTTTGTCTATTTTTGTCTAAACAATTTTTATCCAATCAATCCAGGGGGGGGGGTGGGGGCGCAAGTGGCCCCCCCTTCCCCCCTGCGGGCGCCCATGCACGGTGCATGTTGTTGTTGATAAAGTTAGTGCCACAAGAAACCCTTGGCGAATAGATGAGAACAAGTATGTGCTTGGCAGCAAGTCGATAAGATGCAAGCCATTTTTAATATCTTGAGATTGTTGCCGCATGCCCCGAAAATCAAACTAGTTCATTGCTTCAAGCTCAAAGCTGTCTACAAAGTAATAATGATATCTCTTCTTAAACTGGACACAATTAAGGCGTGTCATGATAGTCTGAATAGCTGGAATAGGGGACTGTGGTCACCAGAGAAACGGTTGGTCAGAGATGCTATTATAGAATCCAAGTACGGATTGTTTGTCTAAACAGTATACTTATTTTGAGTCGGGATCTTCACTCGTGAGTTTCTTTTGAGTTTCTAGGATTGCCGTGATATAATTATCCTACACAGATACAAGGGCTCTTCATCTCAATGTTAACTAAATCTGCAAGAACCAAGCCCTAAGATATGAGGGCTCTTCATCTCAATGTTAACTAAATCTGCAAGAACCAAGCCCTAAGATACAAGGGCTCTTATCTCTATGTTAACTAAAGCTGCAAACTGCTAGAGCCAAGACTTTTTCACAAATATTTGTCTTAAACTGAGTTTCAACATGCTAACATTGTTCATGGAAAATGTCCGTTATATTACAAATATGTTTATGTATACTTACCATTAATCCAGCTGTATGGCTTGTAATGATTGAATTACTGCATGGTATCAGTATCGCCGAGTATATAAGGGGTCGTTCGTAAATTAAACCACGCTAAAAAAGACCTTTTAGACCCCCTCCCCTGTCAATAAGTGTCACAAATTCTTCCCCCCACCCCTGCAGTCTCACGTCAAAACAACTAAAAAAATTCAAAACAGACATAAAATTTTCATAACTAAACTAAGATTGTATTTTGTTCTTTAAAATTTTCCCATAATGGATTAAGATGAAGTACTATTAGAAAACTGAGTTTCATAGTACCTATAATATCCGAGGCAATTTCGACCTCATATTATAGTTTTTAAAATTAATTAAATAAAGATTTTTCAAAACTAGAAAATGTTAGATTAAAAAAAAAAAAAAAAAATTGACATCAACAATTTTTTAAACCCCCCCCCCCCCTTTTTTTTTCGCCCTGTCGCAAAGTTTCGCAAATTCTCGACCCCCCCTCCCCCCCTGAGTATGACGTAATTTGCGAACGACCCCTAAAGATATTCACAAAAACTTTTAAACTTTTTTGACTTGCAAGCTAATGATATATAATGAAATGTTTTTCTTACAATTTTGTGTCATTAAAACAGATCAGCACAAAGTAAAATTTATTTCTAAATTTATTTATATTATAATTCACTTTTTTTTTTGGTGTTTTATGAGGGGGGCGGGGGTATAAAATGAGATAATTAAATAGGGGGGTCACTGATAGTTTGACACTTGTTGACAGTGGGGAAGGGGGTCAAAAACTGCCTAAAAATGTTGATAATTAA